TCTCTCTTCCCCCCTTCTCTCTACCCTCCCCCCACTCTCTCGGTCAAAGTTCCATGTTTAAAATCCCCCTTTGTTGAAATTCCACCGTTGAAGTCCTATGGTGAAATCCCCCTTTCACTTTCCAGCTACTGGCTTTTAAGACAAATTTGTAGCTCACCTGTGGGCGGTACCCCTCAAGACTTGTATGAGTGCCTATGCAACATGTATTTCACTTTTTTTAACCTCTAGGTGGCAGAATTGTATCAGGTAATCGTCAGTAATCACTGGTGCCAGAAAACCTGACTAGATCTTTACCAGCCTAGGCATGGTGTTTATGTAAAGTTTCCCCCCATAACACTGTCCCATTATGAGTACACTGGATACAAATAATTGGGAAACAAGACGGGTCAGTCATACCATTATCAAAAACCAGTTTGGCCTGTTTAGAGGGCACCACCCTTTTGTGAGAAACCAGCTCCCTGTCCATAGTTGTTAGCCAAGCAAATGTTTGTTTGAAGGTAAAGTAGACCAAGCTTCTCCTTTTGCAAATTCCCTGCGTTTGCTGAAAAATCCATTTGCAAAATCACAACTATATACATACTATAATAATAATTAAAACACACGGCAGCTGGTGTGAACAAGCTCTATGTTTTGGCCTATGTCAAACCAAACATAATGGTTGTGATTCGTTTAGAAAAAGCATGGGGAGAAAGAACCCCATAGAAACAAACAATTTTTTAACAAGTCGCTTATTTACAGTTTTGCGGACCGTAATTTTTTTACCTTTTTGCAAAAAGGCGCAATTTCAAATTTGCAAAAATTTTTTATTTATTAACTCAATACAGTTTTATCTTTTAGATTTAGTCAGAAAAATATTTTTTTTAGTGCGCTGATACTGATTTTAGTGTGTTTTATCAATTGAATTGTGTATTTTTATCTGTTTAATATTTGAGAAACATTTGCGCAATTATCGCACAGCCTACAAATTTAGTATCACCATCTTTTTATTCTACCGGGCCTGCGCTTTCAGAAAATATATGGTTTGGGGGGTCTTTTACAAACGCTAGCAACGCAGCAGTTGAAAATCAAATCAATAGGAAAAAATTGCAAAAAAATGCAAAAATGGCTTGGCCAGCTGATTTGAAAAATGTTCGGGAGGGCTTGGCAGCGAAAGGGTTAAAGGCTAGGTATAAAGGGATTTGTGCAGTTGCCATCCAAAAATGCAGACTTGGTCTTTGAGGACTTTGTATGTTGGACAAGAGAATGAAATTTTTCCATTCTTAATAGGTCCTGGGAGTTGGCCTTTTCTAATCTTAAGCCATCCATGGCCCCCACTGCGATCACCAGGAACCTTGGTCACTGGCTAAGCCAGATGAGGGCTTGTATTTAGGAAGGTACCCTGGGGCATGAGATCTTAGTCTTTCAATGCTTATGAGGGCAGTAAGCTACATCACTGACACATCTACAGAAACCAATAATATGTCAGCAAGATCTTCTGCTCTGACTAATTCTGTCCACAAGGCTTTAAGTCCCCAAAACCTGGTTGGGTGTCTCTGCTTCAGAGGTAATGTTATGCAGTATGCCTTTCTCAGGAGAGCTTCTCTTTGGGCCTGATTTGTAGGCTTTTTTAGATTGCACAGCTGATTTAAAAACAATAAGTATTTCCCCATGAATAAGAACCATTGATTGCTTGTTTTAAATGAGCTGTCTATGGCTAGCCTTACACAGCTGTTATTTGGACAACACTCCTCTGAAGCCCCCACAGTTAAACTGTTAGATATGTGTACCCTCCTGCACATTGTGCTGGGACAGTTCTACAACACCAGACACAGAGGTGTATTCCCAGCTAATATCTCTGTGCAATTTTATCTCTTATATCCTTGACAGTTTAACAGCTGTGCTTTGAGGTTTCTATGCCTGCAAAAACTCTGCCTTGTTTGTGTGAGCAGCTGCAAACCTCCCCCAATATCCCAACATGTAAGGTTTGGCATTCTGTATTTATTTTTTTTTTCCTTCTTAAATATTGTTAGTCACTATTTTAGACACAATAATAAATTGTTCATTTCTGTGGTCTCAAGGACCCAACTCATTTACAGTATCCTGAAGGGTTGGCCACATTACAAACTGAAAAGTTATTTTAATTGTCAATATGCAACATAATGTAGACAACTCCATGCAAGATTTCAG